TAAGTATTAAAACTTTTAAAATCAAATTTCTAAGAAAAAAAATATTTTTTAATTTTTAATTATTTGTTTAATTACTCTTGTGATCTCTATAATTTTATAAAATTTATTTTTTAATCTCTATAATTAAAAATGTTCTATTTTAATTTTTATACATACTATTTTTATTTTCTTTTAATCTGTGTTGTCTATTGCTATAGAAATTAAAAAAATCAAAATAATATTAAATAGAGGTTAACATAAAATATTTTTAATTATAAATATTGAAAGATAAAATTTATGAACATCAACCAACTAAAATGATAATCAAACTTTTTACACTCATGGAAGGAATAAGGTTCCATTCTTAGAGTGAACAAGTACATGGCATTAACAGTATCTTGGAAAGATATTCATGCTAATGTTCGATTATAAATCTTCATGCAAAGATTTCATTTGCTTCTCTCTCACCTTATCTCTTTTTCTTGTTCTCTCTCTATATATATATATGGTATTCCGACAATGAATGTTCCAAATTCGGCCCACGAATCTTCGAATGATTTCATGAGACCTGGAAATAGGAAAAGTAGATGGAGTTGGAGTCCGGGCCTAGCTTAAAGGGCCACTAAATATTGGTCCCCTTCTCTACATTTCAATTCCAAATGTTTTAATCTGTTAGTCACATATGCCTACCCTAGTTTTAATAATAAAATAAAGGGTTAACGATTTTTTTAGATTATAAAATTTTTAAGCAGCTTTTTTAGTTACTAGTTTTTGAAATTTTAATTTTAATATTTACGTCTTTTAAAATATTTAAACTTCGGTATCGGTTAGGAAGAAAGAGTGTTAGTTATAATAATAAAATTTGAGTATTTTAAAAAAAAATATATAAGGATAAAACTATTAATTTTAAAAGTCTTTGAGCTTATCTTTTCTTTTTAAACTTATAATTTTATTCACTATCAAATCACTTGGACTCAAATATTTAATCTTGCAAATTTCATACTCAAAATATTTAATTATCGACATAAAAAAGTGTTAAAGATTTTATATCAACTAATAATATAACTAATATAGTATATTTAAATATAAAAAAACCTCATGTAAAAAATTGATTTTATAAGTTTAAATTAAATCTATAATCCACTTTTTTTTTTTAAGTAAAATAAAATTTTGAATATTTTTTATGAACTAACAATATAATAGCAAATAAATATATAATACATGACTTTGCCATTTCAGAACCATAGTCGGCCCAAACATGAGGCAAATTAAACCCTTGCTTTAGGTGCCTTTAAAAATAATTACACTAATATTTATATAATTTTAAGGTACATAACTTAAAAACTATTTTTTGTATCCATTTCTAAAAAAATATATAAATATAATTACTGTTTCTTTAAGATTCATCTCTAAAATATTTTAATTTTTTATTCAAAAAATATTATTATTACTTTTTAAAAAAATCTCACTTTAAAACTTACATTAAACCTAATAATATATTATAGCGGAATCTTAGAACGTCAGATCGAAGTATCCCTTTCATTTCTCCTTTTATAGTTCACGCATTCCATTCTTTTGTAAATTCATGTATGCTTTGGCTTTGCACACATAAATTAAGGAACCTACCAGAGTGTCGTCTCATATCATGACTCAATCTTTTCACACGCGTTTCTCTCCACTTTTCAAAAACCAACATAGTTTTAATAAATAAATTAGACCCACTTTGATCAAACAGTAAAGCAATCTCAGAAAAAAAGATGCATGAAGGTGAACAATTATTAGAAGCTTATGAGGAAAAATAAAAATAAAATAAAGTTAGTTCCTTTGGCTGGCACATAAAGCAAACCCCACTAGTCACACCAATTAACATACCTTTCTTCTTGTCTCGTTAACCCTTGTCTTTTTTTCTCAACAAGTTTTGCATCACCTTCTCCTTAACCACCAAGGAAGTCTTCTACTTATTGAGAAAGACCCACATGGTCCTTATTTGGGTTACTTTGAAACTCAAGCATCAAGAGTGAGAAGTGAAGAGTGAAGAGTGAAGAGTGAAAAAATGAGTGCTGATTGGGGACCAGTTATTGTTGCTGTGGCTTTGTTCATCCTCTTATCTCCGGGTTTGTTGTTCCAATTTCCAGCAAGGTATAGGGTGGTTGAGTTTGGAAACATGAGCACTAGTGGGATTGCAATTTTGGTTCATGCCATCATATTCTTCTGCATACTTACCATCTTGATTGTAGCAATAGGCATTCACATACACATCAATTGATCAATCCAACTTCATCTTATAAACTCACCACAACAATCTCCATATGTATCTTTACAATTTAATTTTTCTTTTTTTTTTCTTTTTTTTGCTCCTTTGATGTATTAATTTCTCTCTTTAAAGTTTTTCATCTTGGTTACTTCTGGGATACTGTGTAAACCAAAATTGTTCAAAATGGAAAAGGAGATGTATCTATAGGAATTATGTCTTTGTTCTGCGGATTTAATTTGGTCTCATTAACTTGTATCTATTGCATCTTATGACTCTTAGTTCCTAATGAGTTGTTTGAATTAGAATATTCTAGCCGCAATTTTATAGAATCTCGCAATTTTAGAATCTACAGTTTTAGAGTTAATTGAAAGATTGGGCTAATACATAAGTAATTGTCGTGTTGTAATCATTTTTATTGGAAAAAAAAAAAACTTAGACAAACGGACTCTATGTTAAACTTGATTGTGATTGTAAGTATGAACAACGTTTTTCTTGTTCTTTTTAAGGAAAATGTAAAGCAATTTGGTCCAACCTTGACCTTATATCTTTAGTTTCATAGTTAACATATGCTTTTAGCTGACGTGGTTTTTGTTTTTTTTCTTTTTATTGCTATCTTGGAGCTGATAAACAGCCTTTCAAATATTTAAGAATTTGGTTCAATTTTCGGATGGAATATTTTTTTTTCCCCGCTAAAGGATTGTAATATGAATAGAGTTTGTTTGGATAGAAGTTAAAAATACTTTTAAAAGCTTATTTATTAAAAAAAATTCTCAAAAATATTTCAAAATTTGTATTTAAATAAAGTGAAAATTATATAAGTTTTCCTGTACATCCTTGAAAAAAAACTGGGTTGAGGCCTCAAGACTCGGTTCTCTCTCATAACACAACTTGTCAGCAATTGTAGTAACCTTTCTTTTATATATATTTTACTTATTTATTTCTACGGCAAGACCACATCTTACACGAGAAAGGATTCAAAATCAATTTAAATTTGTGACTTAAAAATTAATTTTGATGTATTTATAGCAAAATATTCAAGTCTCACTTTTATGTTGACCCCAGCGAAATTCGATGTTAAAAAATATTTAAAACTTAATGTTTTAAAAAAAAACAAATAAAGATAAAATATGAAATCGTTAATTTAAATTGATACGTTTTGCAAATGCCATACAAATTTTATACCGATGTAACATATTTCAATATATATTGTAGAACATTTCAGTATATAAAGTCTTTTATAATTTGATGAATTAATCGTTCATAATATTCAATTAGTTCTTTTAAACATTGAAAAAACTTGGTCCGCACGGCATGAACATCCAATTAAGCAAGTTATCTGTTAAAGCAAGTTTTAAAGAAGTTTTTTCTTCTTTCTTTTTTTGTCAACAAAAGAAATTTATTAATAATTAAGCACTAGAAGTACAAAAGTAATTACCACACTCCAACAAGTGATAAATAAGAAATATCAATCATCCCAACCAAACCTAATAAAACATAATTCAATTACATAAGTAAATTGCAAGTGAGTTCATGTCATTGACTAAAAGAGCATGTGAAGTCCTTTGTCAGTTTTTTTAGTCAAAAGTTCATGAAAAAAACAAAACATCTTGTACTACTTTGTAATTACTTTGAAGGTTGTATAGGCATGAATACCAATTTAGTTAAGCCAAACATGTTATAATTTAATTAGTTTACTTATAAAAAAAAAAAACATCATCAATCATGGAGCCAAAATTTTTACACTTATACAGTATCTTTATTATCCATGTAAATTAATTACAGACTTGTTAACCAAATGGAACTGAATTTTTCTTTAAGTAAAATTTTAAATTTGAATCTTGTAAATAAGAAGAGCATGACTAAGAAAAGAAATTCATTAAAGTTGATTAATCAAATTTTTAAATAAAGATTAGTAACTGATAAAATCATCTCAATTTAAAAAAATTAATATATTATGTGTTGGATGTACAAAATTTACATTTCCATGCAATCTACATGCATACGCAAGCAAGAATTATTTGTTTCGGCTTTATAGGCATATATTTCTCTTGTTAGAGGTTCAGAGAAAATAAAAAATAAAAAAAAAGAATGTAAATCTAAATAATCAGAAAATGATTTCATTCCCATCAAATTATTTTGTTATGATAAAATTTATTTGTGACATTAATTTATATATTAAAATTAAATAAACATACCAAAATGTACTATGCATATTTTCACATACCAATACTTTGTGAAGTTAATTACATGTGGCATACCTGAATAGCATATCATATTGTGATAATGACTTGGCATTATTCTTTGGTGTTACACTAGTACTGTTAGGTGCTCTACTAGTGAGGGAGACAAAGTTATAGTATGGTTTAGGTGATGCAAAAGTGGATCCATGACCATCGGAGAATGAACTTCGCGTTGTATTTGTTATTCAATTCAAATTACTTCAATTTTTATCTAAAGCATGTACAAGACAAAGTATGAACTTGAGGGTAGAAGAAATACACTTTAAAAATGGGCAATCACAACAATAAGTAAAGTTTTAATAAAGTTCAAGCAAATCATAATCATTAAAGTCTAATTACTAGGATTAGCTTAGTAATTAAGTGAGGAAGAACTGAAATAGTTAGAAATATACTATATAAGTTTAATTTTCGTTTTTATAATCTCTTTAATCTTAAAAAAAAAAATCATTAAGGTCTCAAAAGAGTTCAAGCAACATTACAATGAGTTATCTCAAAATGAAATGTGTATAATTTTGTTAAAGTCTTTAATCTGATGAATTTCCAAAAACCCTCTCCCCTCAAAAACAAAGAAATATCTCTACCTTATTTTCAACCGATTTATAAGTCCAAACCTTTAAGGATTATTTTCTTTTTTTTTTTTACTCTTTCTGCTTGCTTATTTCGTCATTCCCTCCTTTACTTCTCACGAGACATGGTGTTTAGAAAAAACTTTTTTCTCCATTGTTATTGAGTTTCAACTTTTGATGATGTCAATTCTAGATTTCTTTTTTTTAGCTTTACTTTGATTTTATTGATTTGACTTGTTTATCTTGAATGGTAATACATGCATGGAATTGGAAACCATCTTCAGTGTATGATGCACATTGACCGGATTATGCATGTGTTGGCATTTGTAGAAATTAGGATGTCCAAATACCACATTTGCATGTTGTTACCCCTTAATAACAACACCAACTTCCTTCTTTCTTAAGATTTTTATTTTGTTTTCTTTGTATTGTTGATTTGTTGCTTCTTCTTTTTTATTTTTTATTTTATTTTGTTCTTTGTTCAATTTATATTGTAATTGGATTAAAGACACGTTATTTATTTATTATATTTTTTTTTATTTTTTTAATTGAGTATAACTCAAACTGATTTGAAAAAAGAAAACAAAATTGAATATATATTAGCCTTACTCAAATAATTAATAAATAAAAAGGAAAAAAGAAACGAACAAAATATGTGACAAACAAAAATAGGTTTTCCATTACAAACAAAGATATGTTTGAAGCTTCAAATCCTTAAAGTTGTGTCATGTAAATTGTTAAAGATAAAAGACCATTTAAAAATACATTATTAACATTTAGTTGCTGAAGGTCCACTTGTGTTTGAGAGCTAAGGTAAAGATAAATAGATAATCTTTATAATAACTTAATTAACAATAAAAAAAATCTCATTAAAACTAAATTTGGATAATTGATAAAGCCATTTGGCACAAGACGAGTCTTGTACCTATCAATTAAGCCTTCTCAATTAAGTCATTTAGATTTTCTTTGATACGGAAAACTCATTTACAACTAATAGTTTTTATGCTTAGTTAGGAGGTAGAGGAACAAGTGTGAATAGAATATTCTAAATGGGAAAAGTAATTTAAACAGGAATTTTAAAGTTTTTATGATTAAATTTTGTTTGGATATTACATTAAAATAAATTTAAATTTTCAATATTTTAAAATGTCATGTAATTAACTAAATCTTAGAATTCTAAATCCCCTCAAAAAAGAAAAAATTATAAAATTCAAAGTAACTTTCTCATAGACAGACCTTTTGCTCTTATGGATGTACTTGCTCTCGTGGAAGCAACTCTTAAGAAATGGTCATTATTTAATGATCTTTTTGGTAGTTTTTCTATCAAAATTCATCTCCTCCTATCTTTTGTTTCCTTCCACCACATTTTATGTTTTAGTTTAATTTTGCTTTCTCTCGACTTTACACTTTTTCCATTTTGTGTTTTCATTTAATTGCAAGTGTAAATACAGTCAATTTTCACTTTCACACTATATCCATTTTGGTGATGTTGGATTCCACATAGGATTTATCTAATCCCTTGATTTTATAAAATCATCATGGTACAACCAACACCACAAATTCTCAAAATTCCCTCGTGTTATGTACTCTTTACATCCAACAATTCTTCTCAGAAGATCTAGGTCTTAATAAAACAAATATAAAGACTGTAATATTTTGCAAGTTCTTTTTTCATGGTTCTAATACTTTCAAAAACTTAGAGACCGCTATTAATAATAATATCTTTTTCTTTGTACTACTTCCCTTGTAATTCAATGTTAATTACACAACTCTGCAGTTGCCCAAATGATATATAAAGAAAGTAACTTTTATGAAACAAATTAATAAATATTTAGGATGTAGTAACTTCTATAGAACTTATTGACAACTTTCCTCCAAGTGAAAGATATAAGACTTGAAGTGCAAGAAGTTTTGAACCACAAGAACAAAACTTCGTGAACTATTCTTCAATCTCAAACACTCACTCTCCCAATGAATGTAGTGATTGTTTGGAGAAATTCTATTCCGAAGATTAGTTCCATCTTCTATCAATCTCTTGGCCTTTAATATTTGGTTTTTGATATAAAAACAAAGAAATAGAATTCATTATATTAAATAATTCTTTAAGAAAATAAACATATATTGTTTTGAGAACTAAATAATTAGGGTAAAAAGGAGTAGGAATAAAATGTATTTTCCAGAATATCCAACTTAGATTTCAATTTAATACATGAAATCTTTTAAAATTTTAATTAATCAACTAAAACCAAGTAATAGGTCTAGAAGTCAAGTTGCTATAGTTTTTATAATTATTGTTTGAGAATGTTATAAAGTCATTCATGATCCTTCACCTAATATTTAAAGCTTTTAGGATAGTTGATCATTGCATGGTATAACAAACTCTATAATATACTCATTAGGGTGCCCTAGTATATCATGTCACAA